CCCCAAAACCCCAAAACCCCAAAACCCCAAAACCCCTTTCAAATTTTCTTAAACTGAAATTCCTAATCCTTCTTATGAGGGTATTTCTTCATCATGAGACTATCTTCTCTGGTGTCGAAGATAAACTCATGGTCCCCATACTTCTCCTTGTTGGAAATGTACTCCTTGACTGGGAAATCAACAGCTGGATCTATGTCAGCCTCCGGCTGGATATATTCTGCTACCCAGGCGATGAAGATAAGCAAGCAAAATTTCATTCAGCATAAGAGGCCTTGCAGCCATCCTCCTGAAAAAGTGAGCTTGAACATGTCGCCTAAACAGAGGCTAGGAGTATTCATGACCTCTTCATATACTTTCTCTGTCTTTTTAGCAACTGGCTTCCAACTGTATAGAGATTTTATAACTTTGTGATTAGCTTCTTCGTCAATTGAATCAATATTTTGGATAGCAAGATCAAGCTTCTCTCAGAGCTTATCAACATTCGGATCTGTTAGATACACCATATCTGGGGGTAAGACCTCTGGGATCCCTCCAACATTGGTACTCACCACAAAGAGACCGCAGGATGCGGCTTCTAGAATTGTGATTCAGAAAGCTTCTGTTAGAGAAGTGTTTAAAAATATCTTTCCTCTACATAATACATCTCTGACTTTATGATTTGGAACATCCCCAAGAAAAGTGATTCTGCCATTGAGCAAGTATTTATCTAAATTGATCAAATTTGGCAGAGGAAGTACCTCTCATATCTTCCAGATCTTGGACACCATATCCTGAACCTCCAATAATGAAGTTAATGTTCGGATATTTTTGTCAAATCCTGGGGATAATCTTGAGGCCTAGATGTAAATCTGGGGATTACTCAGCTCAATGCCTTTTCTCTTGACTAGTCTACCGATCATAATGATATTCAGGACTCCTTCTTTTTCTAGAGTTGGTCAGGAACCTGAAACTATTGGCATGACTTACCTTCAAAATTTGGAGGGAAATCCAGCACCTCATTTTTCTCTTTTGGGCGGAAATTTCTGGTATTTACTGCATTGTTAATGACATATACTTTCTTTGGATCATTCCTTGTCCTTAATGAGAAGTTTTCCTTTCCTACGTGGGAAACACAGATTGCAGCATCTAGATGACAGACGAAGGACTTTAATAATTTGTTAGTAATGTGATTCTCAGGAGCGATGAAATTAAATAAAGAATGATCAGTGAATATTCACTTCTTTCCAAGCGCTTTTGCTACTTCAAACACATCGTACATTAACATTGAGCTGAGTTGATGTCCATGGACTAAAATTTTAGATTAAATTTACCGATATCTATTTTCTCTCTGATAAAAATATTTCGAAAAAGAGGCAATCTTAAAAACATTGCTGGCAAGCTGACTCCATGGAAGAATTCAACAATAGGACAATTGTAGACCTTCAGGCCGTCTCCAAGGTACCTTACCCCTTGTCTTCCTTGCTTACAATTAGTAATAATAATGACTTTATGTCCTAATTTTTGTAGACATTGTGCGAGCTGGTACTGGTGCATTTCTACTCCTCCCAATTTTGGGTAGAAAAAATCACTGACAAAGGCTATTTTATAGTGATTATTTCTCTGCTCAAACTTGTATTCCTCCATTTTTAACCCCAAGATTCAATATTTATTTAAATATTTGGGGTTTTGGGGTTTTGGGGTTTTGGGGTTTTGGGG